ACCAGGAGTTTTATGTCTCCTGTAACTAAGTGGGACACGGCCAGCTAAGCTCTGCCTGGATCTGGCCTGTGTTGTTGTTTTTCATAACAGCCAGTTTTCCATAATGATTCCAGTCAGGACATTCAGCCAGTAGTGAAATGTAAATGTCCAGGATCATTGTGACTTACATCCCTTTCCTCCCGCCTTGTGCAGCAAAAGCTATTTCTGGGTGAATGCACTAGCTGAGCTAAATTTCATCTGGATGACAGAACAAATCTGACTCATTTCTGGGTCCAAACATCAAAGGGGTCAAGTTGCTAAAATCGCCGCAAGCATCAAGAGCCGTTGCACCTAATTGCCTCCATGCAGCGCATGAAAATTTCCTTTCTTTGCCATACTCAGCTACAGAAAATTGCTGCTCATCCAGCTGCAAATATCTGACAGGCAGCAAGACAGCACCTCAGGGACAGAAGGTTTTAAAGCAAACTATAGCTATGTATCATTGACATGTTCATGTGAAAATTCCCAATGTGCTGAAAATTCAGATCTCTGAGTAGCATCACGTCATCCAGATAAAGCAAAAGTCCAAAATAAAAGTGCCCCTGGGATATGCAAAAGCTACTTTGGAGCAATAGAGGAAAATATTCCTACATAAAACCTGGACCAGATTCCAGCAAACCAGACCAAATTCAGGCAAGGGCAGTAACAGATGGATGTGCCACAAACTCACATGGAATGATAAAGGTTTCATGATCTACAAGGCCGAATGCAAAAGATACATTTTAAACAGAAAAAGAGATAAAAGATTAGGGTAGGTTCAAACAGTATTTAAATTTAAACACAAAAGCACCCAACAGGTCCTGAATTTCAGTGGGATTTACATGACTGCTGCCTTTACACGCCTTGGAAAGCCTTATCATGGGTAACTGTCCTCTCCAAATGAGCTAAGATTCAAATAACATCCTTAAGTAAATATATCTTATCTGTTAGACTGTGTTCAACAGGCACGTGTCTAGTGGCAGAAAATTTCAAAACATAATAGAAGTAGGCAGCTACAGAAGTATTTTAGTCAGAAGCACTGTGACTTAGCCACATAGATGTTCTCTTTAAATCCTTTTAAGCTGCTGCTCTACCATATTCCTTGCAGGTCTACGAGTTCAAGTAATGGCATATTTATTTTAAGAGCCTGTTCATGTAAGGTTGATATGGATTTGACAAGTATAAGATAAAAAAATGAAAGTAAATTGCAAAAAAAAATATCAAATTATCTCATGGTTCTCCATTCCTTGAATCTGAATTTGCCCATTTGGGAAGGTGTTTCTTCAGTTTGTCCAGTATTTCTCCATATTTTTGTAACAGACATTTTCTGATTTATTAGTGGAAACATATTTACTATTGCACTATCTTAGAACAGAGAAAGAATAGAGACTAATTTTCATCATCATGCATTATTAGAATGTCATTCATTATTAGAATGACAGCAAGGTTTCAATTCATATGTCAAGATTCCAGTGCTAATTGTGATGAAGGATACACCATTATTTTTAAATGCTGCTACCAACGAAGTAAGTGGAAAACTAAGTTTTGCCATTATCTGCAATGGCTTCAGGGTTTCCCCCATACCTTCAGTGTTTCTTTGTAGCTACCTGTATTCATGTATATTATTATTGTCATAGGAGCATCTGTTGTAATCCGTGATCTTCATCATGTAAAAGCTTCCTGGAAAGTTTTACTTCAACAAGTTTTATCTAAATCTGGGTGTGTATTTGATAGAAATTCACAAAAAGACATTTTAAAGCATTTAAAGATGTCGAATTGTGAAAGTACACTTTTTCTCACAATCATTATTTCTTTAAAAATCTCTTCATATGAAATGAAGAGATCATTAATTTCTCATTAATTTCTGTGGGGTTCACTGATTTATTCCCAGGGAGATACCATGCTAAGATTTTCTCCTCCATCTTGAATAGCAGAAAAAATCACAAGGAATTATACTCAGCCTCTGATAATGAATAGCTTGATCAAGACAAATAATGTATTCATTATACATAAAACTGGAAGTCATTCTAGGGATAATTGTGTTGTAATCATATAGTAACTACCAAGATTCTAGCAGATTTAAGTGAAGTTCAATCCTTTAAATGGTGCTACTTAATTTGGAACAGTTACTATCTTGCCACTGCAGTGGTCCTCTCCGTGATTGAAGACTCCCATTCGCAGGCTGTTGCTGGAGCAGTGCGGGAGCGAGAGTGGAGACGCCTCCCTTGAAAGTCACATCGCAAAATCTCCTGAATGGAAATGAGGCATCTCATCATTGATAACACGAAGGCAAAGAATACACTGCTCTCCAAGTCAGTGCTCTGTGGAGATTCAGTCAGGTGCCCCTGGGTTTACGTGTTGTATTTCATGTGTGTTTCATGGTAGAGAATCAGGGAGTAAGCGCCAAGTAACAACATCCATTTCAGCTTTAGCTTGTATGACTCACCAGGAATCAAACGGGATGTAAACAGAAGTATTGAAAGCTGTAAGGAGGTTTGCCAACCTGTTCTTTTGTTTATTTTCATTTCCCACCATTTTTACACACACAGTTCACTTTCTATCTTGCTTTTTGTAAACAAGCTTTCTTTCTATGCCTTCCTAGACAACTTTTTTTTTTCTCTCATGCCTCATCCTCTCCCATAGACAAAGTGCAGATTTACAGCAGAGATGGTAATAGGGAAAATCTCCTGAAGAGCATTAGAGACTTTTTTTTGCCTCTGACATTTCTTCTGCCTTTGTATTTATCAAAAACAGCTGTTTTCATCTTTGATTCTAAGAAGGTTCTCATTCTCAAAACTCACTAACAATTTATTCAATCAATTTCTTTTTTCCAAAATGTTAACAAATTGCATTTTTACTTACATTATAGCAATAGCAAATTTTGAAAGATGCTATTTTGGTTCACAGCAATTCAATCACTGTCCACTAGAGGGGTAAGGGCCAACATTCATTGCTCTGAGTTTCAGCCAATGAAACTAATCACATCTTATTTTGGATGTGAAATTTCAGAGTTGGGTACTGGTAAAATTCATGAGACTTAAAAAACATTGTGACAAAATACCTAAAACCAGATACATGTAAATTGCCCGATGTTTTCTATTAGTACGTTCAGGTGTGGCGTGCAGCTCCTAGTGGGAAAAGCGGTGTGCAGTAATTCAGACAACCACGCTCTGCATCTCCTGCAGCCGGGGGTTATCTGATAGCAGTCCAGCAGAAGTCTCACCTGAATAACCAACGAATAAGAGTTACAGATAGGGGAGTTTTTGTTTCTGTCTTCGGTAAAGCATCAGTTGAGCAACCCCCCCGCGACAGTGGTTCAGGCCCCCCCGGCGGCCGCTTGGTCT